CAGTTTTGGGAGGTCCCTGGTCCACTTCGTCACTGTTGGAGATCATGGAACTAAGAGTTTGCAAAGCCAAGCCTACCCCATGCCCTTGGCAGAGATGAAACATTCCCATTCTAAAAAAAAGGAAAAATGAATGGGACCAAAGCAAGTCTGAAACCCAGCAGGGCAAATGTTAAATCCTGTAGTTTCATATCTGGCATCAAGGGCACATAGTGGTAGGATATGAGTGTCAAAGGACTTGGGCAGCTCTGCCCCTGTGGCCTTGCTGGTTGCAGATCACATGAACTCTCCTTTGGGCTGGTTCCATTCACTGCCAGCAGCTTTCCTGAGCAGATGTTCTGTGTTCCTGGCATCTCCAGCTTCCCAGGTTCTCTGTCACATCTGCAGTTCACTCTTGTAGCTTCATGCCTTGCCTTCTTAGGAGCTGCCCATAGGGATTCCAATTGTATTACACATCACCTGCCTTCCCAGGCCTTCATTTGAAATCTGGGTGCAACTCCTGCATTCTGTATGCCTACAAATCCAGCATCACTTGGACAATACCAAAGTCTGTCCATAGCTTGAGCAGTAGCAAGGCCCCCTTAGACCATGTCTACAGTGACTTCTGAGTATTTGGGTGACTGAATTCAGGGAACACTTCCCTAGGTGGCCCTGTGTAGGCACGGTGCCCTGGCAGCCCTCTCTTCTCAAAGGAAAGTTTTTCAAATGAGTTTAGTTTCATGTCCTTGACTCTGTCGAGTCTCACTGATTCCTGAGATGTCCTCAAGGAATACTTGCTGTTGTCCTCTTGCAAAGTACTTGGCTTCTTTTCATCTCTTTTTATCTTTTAACAGCCACATGTTTCCTGACCCCTAAATAAAGTCCTTCACATTGCAAGTTTTTCACATCCTGTGTTCTGCTTTTTGCTTCTGATTCCCATTGTAACTGGCTAAAAGCATCTAGCAATACCCATGCACCAGGAAACTTTGTTGAAATGGATCAAATTAATCCATTTCCTTTAAACTCAGCCTCCCACAAAGTCATGGGGTACAGGCAAAATGGAGACATGTACTTTGCCAGAATGTAACAGTCCAATTCCCAATAAAGTCTTCATTTCCATCTGAAACTTTGTAAGGACAGTCTTTACTATCTGCATTTCTCTGAGCATTCTGGTCCTCTGAGCTCCCACAGGAGTCATCTATTAAACACTGTGTGCAGCATTTTAGAGCTTCTCTACCCTGCATGTTCAAATGTTTCCAAGCTCTCCCAGAAAGCAGTTCCAAAGGCTTCTGAACCTCATAGTCAGGTAATCACAGCAACAACCCAACTACTTGATACTCATTTTCTGTGTCTTCCTGTGACAATCACAGAAGTGGGAAGGCCATTTTTTCTGGTCTTAGCATTTTTTTAATCATCCCACTGAATTATTAAAAGCTGGATTTAGTACAGACCTAAAAGTAGTATCAAAATGAAAATTAGTTCTTGAGTAGAAGACTGATTATCAGGGTTCTCTAGAGAACAGAGCCAACAGGATTTATAGACTTATTACACAATTGGAGACTGAAGAGTCCAGCAGTAGCCATTTGCAGGCTGGAGACCCAGAGACCCAGGAGCTGCTAGCTCAAGGAACTGTAAGCCTCAGAACAAGGGGATCCAAAGATGCAGTCCCAGTTCAAGACTGAAGGCCTGGAAGCTCTCTGGAGAGTCACTTGTCTGAGTCCATGGTGAAAATTTGAAGAAACTGGATTCTGATGCTCGTGGACAGTGACGGCAGCAGCAGATGCACTCTCTCAGGAAGAGTGGTGCTTGCACATGTGACTAGCTTCCTCCTCCTACCTTTGTTCCCTCCAAGCTCCCAGCCTATTGCACAGTGCTGTGCACATTCAGGATAGCATTTTTACACTTAGTTGCTGCCCCCACATACCAGTCATCTGTACAAATGCCCTCCCAGAAGTGTACTTTACTAATCTCCTAGGTTTCTCTCAATCTAATCAAGATTAACCATCACAACTCTCGCAGCCTGACCAAATCCTCAGAATCTGTAATATCCTAAGCTCCATGAAATGTACAATGTGCTGAACTCAGAAAGCTTCAGTTATTTCTACCTGTTTTCATGTAAAGGGAAGTAGAAACTTTGCCTCCAGAACTTATACTTATGATATGTGAACATGAAAAAAGCTCATAAAGAGGTCTCAATCTGCATCTATCTGCCAATTTTATATTTATTGCATTTCTGTCCCCATTATTCTCTCTTTAAAAGTGAGACAATTATTTCATTAAGGTGTAAATATTTCCTAGTGTGAATTATTCACACATGGTATAATACATGATGTACCTAACCATATGGCCAAGGCTAAAAGGTGGTTGGGTTAAACAGAAACACTGACTTGATAAAGTAAGGAAATTGAGGACAAATTCTGCTAATTGAAAACCAATTTCTTGATAATTTTTATAAGGTTAAATATACATCTCTTTTTTGAAGATTCCATGCCTGAAAAAATATTCATAAATCATCTTAATATGTACTATTTTCTTAGACACATTTTGGTATGATGATAGAGAGTAATAAATATGAAATGACAATGGCACTTTTCTTCCTGCCATCTCATTTCATCAGTGCACAGTCAGCATCCACAATGGAACCATCATCTGGGAAGTGTTTTAAATAGCACCATTTAAATTTTCTCTGAAATCTGATAAGCACATGTTATAAGAGAAGATGTGGAGGGAATGGCCCATTTATAAGGCAATAAAGTCTTAACTTTATAAGACACTTATGTCTCAGTTTGGCCACAAATATGCTTTCCTGCTTTCCCAGCAAGAAAAAAATGCCACTTAAATTCACTCTCCAAAATGTACCAATGTCAGATATTATTTGGCCTTGGGTCCTCACACACACAGGGACCCTTACCCTGCCCTACCCCATTTATGTTACCTTGGATCACCTCCAACTTTCTCCTTAAGCTGTCACTCAAACCACTAGAGGGACCCAGCAAATTTATGCATCTCTGGGGTCTAGCTTTGGGTGTATTTGCAGCAATTAACTCTTTTTAAAATTGGCACCGAAAATCTACAGTGTTCAAGTCAGACAGAATTAAGCAGCCCTCTACTGCATGTGTCCTCACCCTTCAATTCTAGTATTACCTGGAGTTACCTATTCAAGTCTGCTTTCTCTACACAGATTGCCACCTCCTTGAGGGTGGGAACTCTGCATTCTCTGTGCTTAGAACCCAGTACCGAGCACAATATTGAGAAGACTGGACTTTTAGTAAATAGTTGTTATATCACTAAATACAATGGGAAAAAGCATAGGTTTGGAGTCAAGCACCTCTAGAATCCAATCCTGACTCTAACTGCTATGTGATTTGGGGTGAGTTTCACCCTTTCTGAGCTTTTGCTTCCTAACAGTGAGTTAAAGTCGACAGTTCATTAGAGATGCGACTGATGTTAGGCAACCTGTGAAAAGCAGCTGTGCTTCATGGTTAGTCCATTGAATGTAGCAGGTCTTTGCATATTACTTATGCACCAGTCAAACTGTGCTGAGTGCTGGTAAGCTACAGAGAGGAAGATAGATGGGTTTTCCTTCTAAGGATATGAGTATTCTAATGTGATTTTTTTTCTAAATTATTTTGGTGTTTTGGGGGGCTATCAGACTGTAAGGCCTCTAAGGGTAAGGGCTGTGTCTGTTTTGCTCCCCGGTGTGTTTCTAACTGGAAAAGTAGAGGGCCTCTCTTCTGAAGGATCTCCCAAGCTGTTTGGAATTTATCTAAAGAGCACTGGGGAGCCTTTGAAGAATTTTAAGCAGAGGGACAATGTGAATGGATGTACACTCTGGGAGAATCACCTTGGATGATTCTCTATAGACTTCCAAATGATCCTGAAACATTAGAAATGAGCCGTAGTGATAGGAACTGCAGGCCTTGCTGCTCTTTCTCTGTTTCACTTTTCCTCCTCTCTAAAGCCAACAAGAAGAGGTACCCATGGGACTTCTCAGACAAATATTTGTCATCTGTTTATTCATTGTAACTTATATTGAGCATTACTGATTGAATTCCGAAGTACATACTTGACTCTAGGAATAATAAAATGAAAAGTGCCAAGCTCACACATGTTGAATCTAGTCTACACCTATGACATCTGTAGTGTAGATGGTGGTACAGCATGAGTTTGAATGGGTGCATGAGCGCTGATAAATTATAACTGAAACACTTCTTTGTTGAGGCCCAAAAATTCCTCAGAGAAGAAGTGGCCTTTGAACTGTAGGAGTGGTGGGATTTCATTAGCTGAGGGGTTGTAAGGGGCTGGGACAGAATATGGAAAAACCTCAGATGCAGGAGAATGAATATGGTGGAAATACTATGTGCTCATGTATGAAAATGGAGAAAACGAGACCTGTCGGACTATTCCAGGAATGGGGGAGGGAGGATGATGGAGGGGTGAATTCAACTGTGATATATTGCAAGAACTTTTGTTAATGTCACAGTGTACCCCAGTACAACAATAATATGATAATAAAAATTTTTAAAAAGAATATGGGAAAACCTCAATCTGTGAAAGGGCATGGTCCACTGAGGAATGGATTTACTTGAGTGTGTGGGAATGGGGTATAGAAGGTGTAGGAGATGGGAATAGGGAGGTGTGTTGGAGTTACATTGTAAAGTGAATATTCATACTACAAATTATAGTATGAATATCAAGCTGGGGCCACCAAAAGTCACTAGATGATTCTTGGTGTCTCTGGTTTTTAAGAAAACATTACATGAGGAAATAATTTATATTAAAAGTCAGATAATTCATTATGAAAGCAGTGACTAAACCAGTGAGAGTAATGATCATAAGAAACTGAGAAACAAAAGAATGATCATGGTCCTTCTGGAAGTAGAGTGAAATCTGGGTGTCTGAAAGAAGAGAAGGCCTGGGTCCCATAAGCTAGCCCAGACCAGCGTTGGGAAACAAAGTAGTAAGCCTGACGACACCTGCATACATCCTGTGCCATGACAACTATCTGTATTTGTGTTTTGCAGTTCCATGGAAAATGGGAGACCACCGGATCCTGCAGACTGGGCAGTGATGGATGTCGTCAATTATTTCCGAACAGCAGGATTTGAGGAGCAAGCTAGTGCTTTTCAGGAACAGGTAACAGCATGGAGAAGTATGTGATGAACACAGCTACCTTCCTCCCCACAGTGGGCAGAAGAGAGTGAGGAGGAAGAGGACCAAAGAGCAGAAAGGGGGAAGGGAGGCTCAGAGAAACTGCTGAGGAGGAGGATGGGTGTGGCAGGCTCATGGTTCCTTCCTACAAGAGTAAACTCTGGACCAGAGGCACAGTCACAGCTGTAGGGAAGAGGACTAAAACTCATTTCCATCTCTATCTTGTGAAAGCCTGGTCATGCAGGGGTGGAGGGAATCAGCCCTGCCTTCAGTGCAAACACACTGGAAAACAACAGAAAAAAAGAAAGAAGGGACAAATCCAACCAAGAGACATGCCTCAGTACCCATGGTGCAATTTAGTCCGCTGACCTTTGCTTTCCACATACTTAGCAAGGTAGAGTGAAAGCACAGGATATAGAGTCAAATTCTGGTTTTTCTGTCTATGTGTGTGACCCCGGAGAAGTTACTGGAGCTCTCTGAGTCTTTGTTTCACATCTGTAACATGAGGCTATAATAACTAACTGTATAAGGATGTTGTGAATATTTAAGGGCCAGATCTGCAAATTGCCTCAGAGACTCTCACTGTACAGATGCTCAAAAGCATAAGTCTTTTCTGTTAGACCCAGGGTTGGTATTGGAAATAGGGAGATAGGAACAGGTGTCTCTTCCAATTGTCTGTGTGATTCATGACTCCATTTTGCCAGCTGAGCTAACTCTGCAGAGCTGGTCCTCTAGGAGGTTTACTAAGGAGGAGGGAGATTGGTAGAAAACTTGTAGTACACCCAGGACAGCTTAGTATAGAAACACAGAGTTCCTATTTCTCTATCAATGAAGGCGTCAGTCTTGTAGGCATTAACATTACTTTTTTCATAATATGTTGAGAACATTATAAACCAAAAAATGTGTCCAGCTGCTTGCTGCATATCCCTTCAGCTTATTCTCAAGCTTCTGGTTGTATGCTTGACTTTGAATAAAGTAACTTTTCTAATATCACATACTCCAATCTCTTCAACCAATATTCCCTTCAAACTTGGTCCTCATACATATGTATTTTTTGCTAGTTTAGAAAATTTGCCAAAATAGAAGTTTAAATCACTTGACACCCACCAGAAGAACTAAAATTATCAAGACTGATAGTGCCAAATGTTCGGGAGGATATGTGGCAACCAGGACTCTTCTACATTGTTGGTGGGAGTGTGAAGTAAACACTCATACATCTACCCATAATTCAGCAATTTCACTCCTGGGTATTTACCCAAGGGAAATGAAACATATGTCTATAAAAAGATTTGTACAAAATTGTTCTTAGCAGCTTTTTTCATAGTAGTCAAAAATTGGAAGTGTAGGTGTACATTAATAGGACAATAAGTGTATAAACTGCAGTGTGTTCATACAATGGAATACTATCCAGTAATAAAAGGTAATGTTACTGGTATGTACACCCATTTAGAGGAGCCTCAAAAACATTATATTGAATGGCAGAAGCCTTATGCAACAGAGTTCAGGCCAAATGGGTCTAGGTATGTATGTACTTATTTATTTATGGTTTTTTGAAACATGTTCTCGCTATGTAGTCTGGGCTGGCTTCAAATTCTCAATCCCTCTTGCTTCAGCCTCCCAAGTTCTGGGGTTGCAGGCATGGTCATCACGCCTGTTCAATGGGTCTATTTAGTTTAAGTTTCAGAACAGTAAAACAAATCAATACTAGAAAAATAAAAAACCGTGGTTGCCTCTTTCCAGAGGATAGATGTGGGAGTGGGGAATGACTGGGAATGCATATCAAAGAACCTTCTGGGTGATGCTAACATTTAGTGTCTTGATAAGGGTTAGGATTGCAGGTATATGCATTAGTCACTACGTGTATACTGACACACTTAAATGATTCATATCTATTAAAATAATGAATAATGAAAGTGTGGCAGAGGGAAGTATAATAATATATACAGCTTTCCTGGAAATGCACAAAAGAATATGAATTGACAGTTAAATAGTGTGATGACCACATGGATAAATACATGATAAATTAAGCATAGAAAATATTAATTATAAAATCTAGGTAGTAGGGATATGAACATTCACTATAAAACGCTCACAACTTTTCTTTATGTCTAAAAACTTTGAAATAGAATCCTGGTAGAAAATAACAGCTGTGTTGGAAAGTGGAAGCTGGTCATCTGGAGCATATTTTGTTTTGTTTTTTAATGGTATAATATCCATTTGTGTCATTGCAATTGAGGAACTGTCTTCCAAAATTAAATTTAAATAATATTGTGAAGGTTAACAAAACAAGGGCTTAGCTAAAAGGTCTGTTGGCCAGATTCCCAGATGTTCAAAAGCCTTTTCAAGCTGAGCTTTTGCTCAGACTCCTCTGATGTAGACATCCCAGGTTGGGGACTGCATGCTTTCTGGGCCTTATACATTCGGTACACAGACTTAGGGACTAGCCAGCTCTGAGCTTGGCCCAGAAGCAGGCTCTTTCTCCCATGGATGACCTTATTCTGGCATCAGGGACACTGGGATGCGAGAGGGAACATTTCATTCAGAAATATTTTAAGTTTCTGTGTTGAGTTTGCCAACTAAGGAGCTTGGTAAAGGAATTTCCAAAAGATTGAAGTTTTGCAAGCAAGCCCAAAAGCTCAGGTTCCATCATTCTCATGGAAGGGTAGTTAGGTGAAGAGTCTGCCTTGAATTGTTCTCTGGAAATCATCCCATTTTTCTCTTGATGTGAAATTTTCATTACTTTTCCTTTTCCTGTTAAAGGAAATAGAGGGTAAGGAGGGAATCACTGGCTATGCTCAGGCTGGCAAGAAGTAGTCCCTGTGGTTTATATGAGCACTAAGGATCATATCCTCTACCACATTAACAGACATTTTCCTGTCCTTTCCAGCCTTCCTGGCAATGAACCTCAGTCAGCACTGACTCACCAAATACATCCATACGAGGACTGCATGCCCTCTCCAGCCTAAATTCATGACCCTTCCAGCACATTTCTGTGTCATGCAGCAGAGAAACCATAATAGCCATATCTTAAAATCCATCAGGGATTTTGTGCTACCCTTTGAAAGAAGCATGACTGAGCTAGAGTGCAACCACTAAACCATCTTTGAAAAGAGAAAGCCCAGAAAGTTGGGAGCTAATTGCTTTGTAGTTCACTCTTAAATGTTTGTATACCCTAAAAATCATAGGTTGAAGACCTACCCCCGCACAATGTGATGGTGTTAGGAGATGGAACCCTTGGGATATAATTAGATTTCGAAGAGATCATAAAGGTGGGGCTCCATGATAGGATTGTGCCCTTCTAGAAAAGCCAGATATAGCTGGTTTGTTCTCTTTCTCTCTCTCTCTCTCTCTCTCTCTCTCTCTCTCTCTCTTTCTCTCTCTCCCTCTCTCTTGTGAAGATACAGCAAAAAGGTGGTTGGCCATCTGCAAGCCAGGAAAAGGGCCATCACCAAGACCCTGACCATATGTCACTAAGGTCTTGGACTTTCAGCCTCCATATCTGTAGCAAATTTCTGCTGTTTATGCCACTAGTCTGTGCTATCTTGTCACAGAGGCCACACTGACACTGATACCAGACATGTCCACCACCCTGTCTACTTTCAGGAACTAATCTGCCTCGTGGTATGGCTTCAAAGGACATTATGGATACTGTTTTGCTGTAGCAACCAGACTCAGGTGTGGTTTTCTAATATTATATCTCTTTGGAAGATGTTAGGCCACGGAATGAGGTTTATCTAAAGGACAAAATGGTGTCCACAGTCCATAACCCTGTGGTATGGGGAGGCAGCTATATTAAGCTGCTGGTCTTCCTGACCTTCTTGTCCCTGTGCAGGCACCCTGCTACCACATAGCAATTATATCCATTAGGTTTCCCTCTGGAGCAATTATTTCCATCAAGTTTTCAGGCAAGCCTTGCTTGAGCATTCTGTGTGAGCCACAATCACAAGCCAAGAGAGCTATCAAGAGGAAAGGTCTAAGTCCTGGCCCACTGCCCATCCCCCCAAACCAATGACCCAGTGTCAACTGCATGTATGTGCATGTGCGTATGTGTGTGTGCATGTGTGGTGTGTGCTGCATGTGTTTGTGTGTGCGTGTGTGTGTGTGTGTGTGTAGACTGTATTACTGTTCTGGCCAGTCCCCTTTTATGGCAGTAATGTCACTTTCAGGGTGGCATGTGGTTTGTGTCATATGCAACTGTTAACCATGTGGGGACTCCAGCCCACTGGATTCCATGACATAGTGCCCCAAAGGGCTTCCTGGCCAGTGAGAGCAGGAGACAGTGGGAGCCCTTCGTAGAGAGCAGGATTATAGCATCATCAGCATCATCCCTCTTTCCTACCAACACCATGATGTAATGACTGTTTTCTCAAGTATCTTCTAGCAGGCAGACTTTTTACCCTGAGGTGAAGGGTACCAGTGTGAGTTGAGACTATTGGTTTATTTTCTTCTAGTTTCCTGGACATACTGGGGATTTAGCCTTTGTAGGACTCAGATTTCTTAAAGCTCCTGCTTTAAAAGTCAAGAGTGTCATTTTGAAACTTTCTGGCAAAGTACTCTTCCAGTGCACAGTAGAAGGCACAAGAGCCATTTGAGAAGTAGAATTATTTTGAACAGATAAAAAGAATTAGCACTTGCCCATGGATATGGGTTGCCTGGTTTTCAAGAAACAAAGGTATCTCAGGAATTCTCCTTCCTTAAGAGCTTTTAAGAAAGACCATTTTGACTAATCTCATTGGAAAGTACCTCCACCTTCCTCAGAGAGAACATTTAGGATAAGATTTACTTTTTCAAGCTCTGAAGGCTAAATAAGCAACACTTTCTGGATTGAAAGCCATTTCTGTTGACAGTGTTTTTAGCTGTCACTTAAAGCTAGTACAGTAACTTCACCACTCAAATTGGACTAATTGCAAATCACAAAGACAATTGTCCTATTTGTAGTGCAGTTACTCCATTACTGTCTTCATCTTTCTGATTCACATACTCAA